CTAGGGAACATACTCATTAATTAATCTTATAATTATATTTGTTGCATTTATGTGTGTGTTTTTATATATACATTTGTATGCAAATTGATATATGTGTGTATATGTCTATTCCCTGAATAAATCGATACGAAACAGCGAACATAAAATTGCTTAAAGATAAACTATGCTCAAATTTGATATTAGAAAACATTGATACCTGCTTCACAGTCTCTTTGTAAATATAAAAAGAACATGTTTTGACTTATCATAATGCTTAAAACTCTACACATCGTTTCTTAATAAAATACCAACTTTATAGAGAAAAAAAGCTTCCAATACATAGTTTGTTCATTCTTAATTCAAACAAGACATATTAAGTAAGAATTTCATAGATTCCTATAAATTTCTGTGACTAAAGACACATTTTGCCTCAGAAAACTATATATTTTTATGTCTTCGGAAATGTCAAACATGTGTTTCATACGCTGAACATACAGTCATGTGTTGTAAAGGGAGCAAAATGTAAAGAAAGTAGTATTTTGACTTCCATACAAAATACTTATACTAATCCGCGAAGTCTGATCAGGATCCATGCTGTTCGCTATCAGTTTCTGGTCGCAAATCCATTATGTTTTGTCGTGACGTGGCTTATATTTCGAAACTGTAATAAGATACCAAAACTTAACAGGTTTTTGTGAAATAAAATGAGCATAATATATATTTAATATATTTTTATGGTTTTTCTTTAAACAGTAAAGTTCTAAATGTGTTTGCACGGAGGGGGGGGGGGGGGGGTACAACTATATTGAATTTAATTATGAAATTTTCTTCCATAAACTGGTCTTTGTAGCACATTTACTAATTTAAGCTGTATGGTTGTTATTTATTGCAACAGTAATATGGCACAAACTATTGAAATTTTACAAACAAAACAAAACAACTGTTACTATTAAACCAGCCTTTTGAGCACATATGCTTCAAACTTCATACAAGTAATGTATGATTTGAAACTTACAGATTTATAGCCTTTATAACCACCGTGTTCCTAACCTACATATAATACACACAGAATTGCAAAATATGAATAATACATCTATTTACAATTACATGACAACTTATATTCGTACATTACACAAATAGAAGTACAATACAATGTATCAATTAACTTCTATGTACGTTGGCATTGGGCTAGATATTCGCATAAAACATATATGAGCCGCGTCACGACAAAACAAACATAATGGGTTTGCAACCAGCATGGATCCAGACCAGCCTGCGCATCCGCGATCCATGCTGTTCGCTTACAAACCCTATTACAAGTAGAGACACTGATAGCGAACAGTATGGATCCTGATCAGACAGCGCGGATGCGTTGGCTGGTCTGGATCCATGCTGGTCGCAAACCCATTATGTTGGTTTTGTCGTGACGCGGCTCATATATAACTTTAAATGAAACATTTATGTACCTTTAAACGAGAATTGTTTGTAACTGTTGTCTAATATGGAAGGCATGGTATATAAACATAGCTTAATTTCTAATATCATGCGCATAATCGCTTGTAATCAACTGAACAAATTTTAACATGCTACGAAACGTCCAGTAATATTTCTTCAAAAATCTTGTTCAGAGTTCCTGAGAAATAGGACATATTATAACAAAATGGAACTCTAACATGCTACACAGATTCAATTAAAGGTACACTGTGGGTTTTTCTCCATCTACCCACCTCTATTTTTAGACGATGAGAGGACATTCTTAAACGTGACCTAGCTATTCTATACTTTTTAATATCAACACTATCTAAATATCTACTAAAACTGAAATCGTTAAGTGTAAAATAGTGCTCTTGAAGAATTACTGATTCGGGAATTAAATGTCCTTTTTCCATGTGTCTCATACAGAGAGTTTTATATAAAACTTTATTTGTCTAAATTCATTGCATCTTTCGGATGTACAAAAAAGAAGCTGAATTAATATTCCTATGTAAGGATTGTATACGATGAATTGCCACTAATTTGTGCTTGTAGAAATGTTATTTTAATGAGTGTGATTAATTAAACATTAAACAATGTACATAGCAAGCATATCCAAAAGCATTACTATTATATTTTAGAATATTGCTTTTATAATATATATGAGTCGCGTCACGACAAAACTTACATATTGCGTTTGCGACCAGCATGGATCCAGACCAGCCTGCGCATTCGCGCAGTCTGATCAGGATTCATGCTGTTTGCTATCAGTTTCTCTACTTGTAATAGGGTTTGTAAGCGAACAGCATGGATCCTGATTAGACTGCGCGGATGCGCAGGCTGGTCTGGATCCATGCTGGTCGCAAACGCATTACGTTGGTTTTGTCGTGACGTGGCTCATATGTATATATTAAACCATACATGGTTCAACGTCGGCAAAATACCAGAGACCACATGGAACGCGAAACACCTTTTTTAATTTATCGAATACGTTCTACATTTTCCATAAATTTTTATCTTCAAATGTTGTAATTTTTGACCTCTCAGTTGGAAATCTGAAATAAAAGTATTAGTGGTACTTAATTATCGAGGTTATATCAGAAGAGTATATATATTGATATAAGAAGTGGTAGAAATGCGTTTTCCTTTGCTATATGAAACACCGTAATAATATACTTTACTGCTACCATTATTATCCAATATACCGGTATAAAACATTATGAACAAGAGCCATATGAAAGTGAACGCCAACTTTTCTTAAAACAAGAGCTGGCATAATGCAGTTTTTTTCTAAGTTCAGAAATGGTCATGATTAGATCAGACAAAAGCCTTGTAAGTAGGATTGCCTTAGTTTTTTTCAAATAGTCTAGTAAACAATAGATAAAATTGTGCCTAGATTTGTACTGAGAAATAGACCACTGTGTATGAATGTAATCACGAGAATATCAATAGATGTTAATTGACGAAGTATCTTAGAAAATAAATTGAATTAACAAGATTCAATATAACCATGTCTTATAGTCATTATTATATGTACGTAACATTGCATGTATATATGCACAGCTTCATATACTTTAATCTTATATGAACACTTCATACGAATCTTTTGTGAATGTAAACGGTGGCTCTCACTTAGGACACCCCGTGAAGGTCTCAAACTTCTGACACCCTTTGCGAGTTATCGAAGTCCAATGCAATGAAAAAAAAGTCATATTGCTTTATGGATGTGCATAAAATAAAATAACTTTGATAAAAGTTTAAGTAACCACAAAAATATGTCTACATCTATTATGAATTTACATGTATAATACATATTCTATAAGTATGTATATTGATGAACACTTGTGTTGTTGACAGATTTTTTTTTTTTGATAACTTTGGAGTATTTTAGCATTTTACATAAATTTCAACATTTCTAACTAGCATATGCTAACGAAAACAGAACATTCATAGGACTTCATGCATAATCTAATGTTTAAGAATATAGGATTAGTAACGCATGTAACGAGCAAAATATATATGGTGTTAAAAGGATAAAGAAAAGAACAAAAATTCAATAAATATAGATGTTCATGGTTTTAAGAGTGTGATAAAGAAACCCCATAACACTTAAATAATCATTCAGTATGATACCTTACATAAGTCGGTAATGGAGTTTTGAGCTGGAATGACCATTTACAGTTCGATTGTCGGTTTAACGTCGGCAGATACCACCAAAGTATTACAGACAGATACACTGATACCAGAGAACATATCAAACACGACACACCTTTTGTGTAATTTATCGACTTTTTTCTTTTTTAGTAGAAGTCGTTTTTCCGGTTTTTCTGGCTGGCCGGAAATTTTCGGTAATAACTAATATGAAATTACATTATGAAAAAACTGAAGATCTTTTGCACATGTTTTACTGTATCATCTCAGGCTAGACTAGGCAAAAAGTGTTTCGGCTGCTCCAGTTGTCTGGCTAACTTCACGGACATCGTCACACATTTTAATTCTTTTTACAGACACACATAAAAACTACAACAAAATAAATTAAATTCAGTTCAGATCATCATTGTTTCATGTAGTATAATTTTTTTTATTTCCGCGAAATGGAATAAAAATGCTATAATTTATGACAACCAAAGTACTGCCTCTGTACTCTCAATACCCATTTTTGAGACAGTAATGTCATACCAGTACAAGTAATTGCAGCGTAACCCGACTATGGCACGAATCCACGATCCCTGGGTTAAGAGGCAGACACCTTAACTACTTGGAGAAGACCACATCAACTTAAAAATTCGAGCCAGGAAAAAATAGGGAATTATCAGGGAAATTTATATAGAAATTTAGTGATCACTATTATGGAGAAGACGCTAGAGTTATGAGCCTTTTCATTTATGACGTTGACGATGATCAAAAATGAAGTTTATGATCACAAAAAATACAAAGATAGAATAAAAAACTAAAAACAAAATTTTAGACCAAAGGGAAATAACTCTTGAAATATATATTGAGTAAAGTTGACGGGATATAAATATCATATACATAACTCCTTAGTAATAAGGTTTGTTTGAAGACAATTTAAGTCAATATTTTGCATTTACATTGTATAAATTAAGATTTTGTTTGTTTGTTGCATTTTACGCCTTTTTCCAACAGTATTTCAGTCATAGTGACGTGTAGTTTCCTAACCATTGTAAATCCTGGAGAGTTACACCAGTACTAGACTACCTTCCTCCGCGCTAAACTAACACAGCATCTCCCGGTGATTGAACCCACGCCAGAGATGTAACTGGATTAGAAGTCAACGACTCCAACAATTACATAAACTATGAACTTCATTTCTCCCCCTCTGCTTTTATCATGGCTTGGGACATGCTAGTTACTAGAACTAGGCAGCATTGGAAGAAGTGTAGTTTTATAGTTAGTCGTCCAATCACAAACACCCTGTTTTCACTTCAATATACTGGATGGTTTAAGTCCACACAAAATCGCTACACTTCTCCCCCATCCAGACAGTTTTTATTGTAAATGTCACTTTAGTGTCCATACACGTGTAATTCCGGAATAAAATGTTTAACATCGATTATATTTTTCTTCCGCCATGAAGAATCAGTCCTGTGAATATAAAAACAGATTCATATCATTCAAAGTAAAATACAATTATTTACTGAGAAAAAATATTTATTTCCTTAGATAAACGTTTTGAGTTTAAACATACAATGTAATTACTTTAGCTCGATTGCGAGACAAGTGCTTGCATGTTATATTAATCACTTTCGTGTCCGCTTCCTGGCACTAACCAGTACAGGACGAGGTGTCATATGAGGAATCATGATCGCGACCCGACTCGGGCCCGAATCTATAATTGTTGGCTTGAGAGGAAGACATCTCAACCAGTAGACCACGGAATTACATAAATTATTAATTAATAATGAAAATGACCAACAGTTATCTATAATATAAATTTACCTGCATAGTTTGATTCTTGCTATCGTTTGTGTGGATATTCTTTAATGCTCAAATTAGCAAGCAGTATCACCCGTGAATTCCTGTTGTGCTCTGTTGGGATAATTAAATTTCATAATTAGCTTTTAGATAATACCAATTGCATATGTAATGACATGGATTTTCATCGATGTTTTGATTCCTAACTACAGTTAAGATGTATATTAAATTTATGTCAAAATCCAAGCACTTGTATAATATTTGAACAAAGTTCATTCATACGTATTGGAGAAGCCTACAATCTTTTCAGCAGTAAAAAATACAAATATTTTTGTTGATTATGCCCCTTTCTAGTCATTCCGAGAATTCTTATTGCATCTCATTAAACTTCTGTTTTTCATACATTTATCTTACAAACTTCCAGCAGTATATTTCTGTGAGATTAATGTATTTGAAGGTCACATTAAGCCTTAAATGAGAGTAATGATTTTTTTTTTTGGGAAAGGGCAAAAATGTTTTTTTTATTTCTTTTACAAAAGGGAAAGCTATTTTTCCGCCAAAAAAGTTAAAAAAGTGTCCCTCCATAAGTTATAAAAGGGGTTTTTAGGGGGGATGGCCAATGAGTAAATCTTTTTTTACTAAAAAAAAAAAACTTTTTTTAAAAAAAAAAAGGGTACTATTTTTAAGGGGTTTAAATTTCCTTTGAAATTTTTAAATGGGCCCTTTTCTGATTTTCTAAGGGGGAGGGGATTTCAATAATCATCACAACAGCAAATTTTTTAAAGGGTTTTGGGTTTTAAAAAAAAATAAAAAACCCGGTTGACCCAATTAAAAATTTAAAAATACTTTTATTTTTCCTTAAAACTTGGAGGGCAAAGAAAAAGTGAAAAATTTTTAAAAAAATTGGTTTTGTCCCCAATGTTAGAACAAAGAAATAATTTTTTTCAAAAATTTCCCCTTTTCATCTCATAAAAAAATTCCTTTTTTTAAAAAAATGAGTTTGAAACAAAAAATAAAATTTTTTTTGTTTTTTAATTTTATTAATGCAATTTTGTGAATTTAAAACCAAATCAAAATTTTTTTTTTTTAATTTTTTACCTTTAAATCTTAAATTTAAATTAAATTTAAAAATTAATTTTTGGGAATTAATTGGTAAAATTTTTTTTAATCAATTACAAATTGGGGAAATTTTTTAGGAAATTTTATTTCACTTATAATTTTTTTGACAAATTTTAACAAAAAAAGTTCATTAAAATAGAGTATGCAAAGGTTTTTGTTGTTTTTTTTTCCTTTTTTTTCCCGTCAAACAGTTTTATTTCGTTTTTTCATTATTAATTCTTCCCAGTCTTTTATTGAAAAAGGGTTTTAAAAAAATTATTTATCAAAGATATTAAAAAAAATTTTTAAAATTTTTTTTTCTTGGGTTTAGAATTTTTCATGTTGTTACAAAAAGGTTTAAAAAAGGTAAACCTTTTAATTAAAATTTAAAAAACGTTTTTATGCCTTATCCCTTTCGGACCCTTTTTTCTTTTAAATATGTTCATTGAATTTATTTTCGTTAAATTTGGAACTAATGTAAAAAACCTGGAAAATTTAAGTTTTAAAATAAAATTTTTTTAAAAAACCCACTATGCATTTTCTCCAAAAAATGGAAAACAAAATTCCAGTCTTACAAAAACTGCCCCTTTTCAGAGGTGTTAAAGCTGCAGCCAAAAACAACTTTTTGGGGTAAAAATAGGCCCGGGGGCCCCTCGAAAAAAGAATCGTGACCGTTTTGATTTTTAAAATTCCCCGGTTTTCTTTTTAGTCTTTTTTAAATTTCTTTTAAGCGTAATAAAATTTTAAACAAAGTCCAAAAATTATTATCTCTACTCTTGGACATTAAACCAATTTTGGAAAAAGTAGGCATAAATATTTTTTTTAATGTATAATTTTAATAACTGAAAAAGGGTAATTATTGTTTTAAATTGTAAGGGAAAACCTTTTACTCCCCAAATTTTAATAATTTATACAAATTAAATTTGTTGCAAGGGAAAATTTTTGTTCAAAACTTTCCCCCCTCAATTTAAAAAAATTGAAATCTGGGTTTTTTGGGTCAAAAAAATCTTTTTTGGGCATATTTCCATACTGTAAAAACCCCACGGGGTGAAACCCAATCTGCATTTCCATTTTCTAATACATGTTAAAATTTTACGTTCACTCGTTTTTTATTTAAAGCAAAACATAGCAAAGACGACCCGCACCGGGGGCAAAAAAATCGGGAAAAAGGAATTTTTTATTTTTTTGTTTTGTTTTTTTCATTTTACCCCTTTTTCTCAAAAGTAAATTTCAATATATGGCTGGTAGGGTTTCCCAAACCCCTTTTTTTCTGGGAAATTAAAACCCGTTTAAAATTGACTTTTCGGTTTTTGGCCCCCTTAAAAATACCCAAAAGGAAATATAAAGAGCAAATTTTTTCAACCGCTAAAAAATAAAAATTTTCAAAGACCCTTTATAATTTTTTTTATTTGGATGAGAGGAAAATTTGTTTAAACATATCAATTAAGGGAAATAAAATTATACAATTTTAAAAAAAATATAATGGCAATTTTTAAAAATACCATTTTGTTTATAATTTTGCGAAAAATAAACCCCTGACAACCCCGGGATTCCGGAAATTTGCAAAAGGAAAAATAAATTTAGGAGACGGGTTTTTAATTTGAAACCAAGGGAAATTTTAAAAGTATTTTAAAAAGGGAAATTTTCAGGGAAATTACTGGGTTAAAACAATTGGTTTTTAAAATAAAATGTTTTGTAACATTGGAAATACATTTTTAAAATGATTTTTTACATGATTTGAACTACATGTAATACCTGGAAGATTTTTTAGTGGAAAATATTTTCTAACAATACACCATATCCATCTCTCTCAACAATGAAACTACTTCCAGTTTTACAAATCTGCCGGTACAGAGGTGTAGAAAGCTGCCCCAAACACGAAACCTTCTTGCGAGTAAATAAGTGCCGGTCCTCTCGAAGGAATCATGACCAGTCTTGATCAACTTCCATGGTGTCTGCCAAGTCCTTGATTTTCCTTGAAGCTGCATAATAAAAAACCAAGTGAATGTAATGATATTTTTCTTCTGTAGGAAGGGCAAATATGTTTTTGATTATGCTTTTGTAATGGGGATGCTTATCACCCGACAAATATAGTATTAAAATGTATTATCCCATAAGTTACAAAAGGCAGTTCAGGTATATGGCCAATTTGTAACTCTTTTTTGATACTAAAAAAAATAAAAACTTTTAAAACTAAAAAGGGTACTATTTTTAAGACTAAATGGCCCTTTGAATTTCTTAAATGCTTTTTTCTGGGTGTCTAATTGGGGAATAATACAATAATCATAATCATCACAACAGCGATATTTTCATGTTTGGCTTTTAAAAAGTTAAAAACGGCCAACCAATAATATTTTAAAGTACTTTGATTATGCTTAAAAGCTTGGAGTCAAGAGAAAAAGTGAAATATTAAAGAAATATTGGTATGTCACAACTGTTAGAACATTTCTTTTCATTCTTCATAAAGATCTTTTTAATAAAAATGAGTTGAAACTACATATCTATTTTTGTTTTATTAATCTGTATTCATGCGTTGTGTAAATGAAATCAACTCTTGTCAAGTTAGTAAGACGCAATAAGCTTCATCACAGAAAAGATTTTGCTTAAGAATACAATATTAGAATATCATATAAACTGACCTCTTTAATCTCGGGAAATCTTTACTGACACATCATATCCAATTCCTTGACCATGCCCAGATCTACAAATAGTAACGTTTTCTAGAAAAAATACTCTGATAAAGTGTTGATAAAGCATCCCAGATTGTTAAGTATAACCAATTCTTAAAAGAACAACAAAGCTTTAACCCTCAGCTTGATTATCCCTTAAACGAATTAAATATTTTTGTCAACCTTTACTAAATTCACATTAACAATTAATTTGGTATTTAAGTGGTAAAATTCTTTTTAATCAAATTACAATTGTTAGATTTGTTAGGGCTTTTATTCATTTATATTTTATGACAATTCAACATCAAAAGTCATACATACGAGTATACAGGATGTTGTTTCTTTTTCCCTCCCGTTTGCACAGTTATTAATTCGTTTCTGCCATGAAGTCACATCTCCAGCTCCTTATATGAAAAAGTTAATAAATATATTATGCAATGATCATAAAAGAGAATAAATCTTTATTTCTTTAAGATATTAGATTTTACATGTTGTTACATAGGTTTATAAAGGTAATCTTGAAGTAATTAAAAAAATCGTTTATCATAGCCTTATCATTTCGGACCAATTTACTTAAAATATGTTCATGAATCATTTTCGTGATTTGAACTACATGTAATACCTGGAAGATTTAAGTGGAAAATATTTTCTAACAATACACCATATCCATCTCTCTCAACAATGAAACAACTTCCAGTCTTACAAATCTGCCGGTACAGAGGTGTAGAAAGCTGCCCCAAACACGAAACCTTCTTGCGAGTAAATAAGTGCCGGTCCTCTCGAAAGAATCGTGACCAGTCTTGATCAACTTCCACGGTGTCTGCCAAGTCCTTGATTTTCCTTGAAGCTGAATAATAAAAAAGCAAAGTCCAAAAACTTATTATCTCCTACTCTTGGACATTAAACTATTTGTGAATATGTAGGACAAAATATTTGTTAAATGTATAATTAATAACTGAAAAGGCCTATTATTGTGAATTGTAGAAAACTATACTCCAATCTCATAATAATTTGATAACATTAATTTGTTGCAAGTAAATTTTCGTTCAAACTTTTACCTCAATCAGTAATGAAATCTGTTCTTTGGATCAAAAAAATCTTCTTTTGACATATGCCACTACTAGTAAGCAACCTCATGGGATGAATCCAACCATCTGCATTCTCATATCTCAATACATGTCATAACATTCTACGTACAATACGTTTGCATTTAAAGCAAAAATAGCATGACGACCCGCATGGTCAGAACATCGGAACGGAAGATATTATGACGCAAATTTGTCAACCGCAGTATAAATAGAAATACATGACACTGATAATATTTTATTTGGATGAGTTTGTTTGTTTGTTTTGGGTTTTACGTCACATCGACACATTATAGGTCATATCGCGACGTTCCAGCTTTACTGGTGGAGGAAGACCTCAGGTGCCCTTCCGTGCATTATTTCAGGCACGAACGGGCACCTGAGTAGAACCACCGACGTTCCGTAAGCTAGTTATGTGGATGAGAGAAATTTGATTGAAACATATCAATAAGTAACATAAGTTATACAATTTAACAAATAATAGACAATACAAGTACCATATGTTTATAATTAAGCGAAAAATAATCGGTGACAACGCGTAGCCAGGAAATCGCAAAGGAAAATATTAGGAGACGGGTTGGACAATTTGAAACCAGAATTGTAAAAGTATTAAAGGACACATACAGTAATTTATTGGATAGAAGAAATTGGTATTAAAATATACATGTTTGTAACATTGGAAATACATTTTTAAAATGATTTTTACATGATTTGAACTACATGTAATACCTGGAAGATTTTTAGTGGAAAATATTTTCTAACAATACACCATATCCATCTCTCTCAACAATGAAACTACTTCCAGTTTTACAAATCTGCCGGTACAGAGGTGTAGAAAGCTGCCCCAAACGCGAAACCTTCTTGCGAGTAAATAAGTGCCGGTCCTCTCGAAAGAATCGTGATTAGTCTTGATCAACTTCCACGGCGTCTGCCAAGTCCTTGATTATCCTTGAATCTGCATAATAAAAAAATCAAATGAATGTAATGTTTTTTTCTTCTGTGGGAAGGACAAATATGTTTTTGATTATGCTTTTGTAATGGGGATGCTTATCACCCGACAAATATAGTATTAAAAAGTGTCATCCCATAAGTTACAAAAGGCAGTTCAGGTATATGGCCAATTTGTAACTCTTTTTTGATACTAAAAAAACTAAAAACTTTTAAAACTAAAAAGGGTACTATTTTTAAGACTTAATGGGCCTTTGAATTTCTTAAATGCCATTTTCTGGGTGTCTAATGGGGGAATAATACAATAATCATAATCACAACAGCGATATTTTCATGTTTGGCTTTTAAAAGTTAAAAACGGCCAACCAATAATAATTTAAAGTACTTTGATTATGCTTTGAAGCTTGGAGTCAAGAGAAAAAGTGAAATATTAAAGAAATATTGGTATGTCACAACTGGTAGACAAAGACTGAATTACATAACTTTTCATTCTTCATGAAGATCTTTTTAATAAAAATGAGTTGAAACTACATATTTATTTTGTTTTATAAATCTGTATAAATGCGTTGTGTAAATGAAATCAACTCTTGTCAAGTAAGTAAGACGCAATAAGGTTCATCACAGAAAAGATTTTGCTTAAGATTAAATATTAAAAAAATCATATAAACTGACCTCTTTAATCTCGGGTAATCTTTACTGACACATCATATCCAATTCTTTGACCATGCCCAGATCTACAAATAGTAACATTTCTACAAAAAATACTCTGATAAAGTGTTGATACAGCATCCCAGATTGTTAAGTATAACCAATTCTTAAAGAACAACAAAAATTTAACCCTCAGCTTCATTATCCCTTAAACGATTTTTTTTCATCTTTACTTAATCTTAAATTAATTCACATTAACAATTAATTTGGTAATTAATTGGTAAGATTCTTTTTAATCAAATTACAATTGTAAGATTTGTTAGTGCTTTTATTCATTTATATTTTATGACAATTCAACACAGAAAGTCATACATACAAGTACGCAGGCTGTTGTTTCTTTTCCTCCCGTCAACACAGTTATTAATTCGTTTCTGCCATGAAGTCACATCTCCAGCTCCTTATATGAAAACGGTTTAAAAATATATTATGCAATGATCATAAAAGAGAATAAATCTTTATTTCTTTAAGATATTAGATTTTACATGTTGTTACATAGGTTAATAAAGGTAATCTTGAAGTAATTAAAAAATCGTTTATCATAGTCTCATCATTTCGGACCAATTTACTTAAAATATGCTCATTAATCATTTTCGCGATTTGAACTACATGTAATACCTGGAAGATTTAAGTGGAAAATATTTTCTAACAATACACCATATCCATCTTTCTCAACAATGAAACAACTTCCAGTCTTACAAATCTGCCGGTACAGAGGTGTAGAAAGCTGCCCCAAACACGAAACCTTCTTGCGAGTAAATAAGTGCCGGTCCTCTCGAAAGAATCGTGACCAGTCTTGATCAACTTCCACGGTGTCTGCCAAGTCCTTGATTATCCTTGAAGCTGAATAATAAAAAAGCAAAGTCCAAAAACTAATTATCTCGTACTCTTGGACATTAAACTATTTGTGACTATGTAGGACAAAATATTTATGTTTAAATTATAATTAATAACTGCAAAAGCCTTTATTGTGAATTGTAGAAAACTATACTTCAATCTCATAATAATTTGATAACATTCATTTGTTGCAAGTAAATTTTCGTTAAAACTTTTACCTCAATCCGTAATGAAATCTGTTCTTTGGATCAAAAACATCTTCTTTTGACATATGCCACTACAAGTAAGCAACCTCATGAGTGAATCCAACTATCTGCATTCTCATATCTCAATACAGGTCATAACATTCTACGTACAATACGTTTGCATTTAAAGCAAAAATAGCATGACGACCCGAATGGTCAGAACATCGAAACAGAATAGATTTTAATTATCACACAATATGTTTACAGTTAAGCGAAAAACAACCGACGGCCCGCGTGGCCATGACATCGCAACTGATATTATTATATCACATATTTGATAACTGGAAAACAGCAAAATATAAATAGGGGACACAAATAACTTTTTCTGATGGAAGTAATTTTGATTTAAACATATAGATTAGTAGCATACGAAATGCATTTTTACAAATAGCCGATCAGATAAAATAATTACAACACACGTACAATACGACCCGAATGGTCAGAACATCGGAACGGAAGATATTATGACGCAAATTTGTCAACCGCAGTATAAATAGAAATACATGACACTGATAATATTTTATTTGGATGAGAGAAATTTTATTGAAACATATCAATAAGTAACATAAGTTATACAATTTAACAAACATAAGGCAATACAAGTACCATATGTTTATAATTAAGCGAAAAATAATCGGTGACAACGCGTAGCCAGGACATCGCAAAGGAAAATATTAGGAGACAGGTTGGACAATTTGAAACCAGAATTGTAAAAGTATTAAAGGACACATACAGTAATTTATTGGACAGGAGAAAATGTAATTAAAATATATACATGTTAGTAAACATTAGAAGTACTTTTTTAAAACAAATTTTAATTGCAACACAGTATGTTTAGTTTACCGTAAAATGACCGACGGCCGCGTGGCCAGGACATCGCAACTGATATCATTGTGACAAATATTTGACAACTGGATAACAGCAAAATAGAAATAGGGCACACAAATAACTTTTTGAATGAAGTAATTTTGATTTTTTAAACATATAAATTAGTAGCAATAGAGATTCATTTCAACAAATATCCGACCATATAAAATAATAACGACCCGCATGGTCAGAACATCAGAACGGAAAATCTTATAACACATATTTGTCACCCGCAGTATAAAAAGAAATACATGACACTGATAATATTTTATTTGGATGAGAGAAATTTAATTGAAACCTATCAATTAGTTACATAAATTATACAATGTAACAAATATTAGACAAAACAAGTACCATATGTTTATATTTTAGCGAACAATAACCGGTGACAACGCGTAGCGAGGAAATCGCAAAGGAAAATATTTGGGGACAGGTTGGACAATTCGAAACCAGAATTGTAAAAGTATTAATGGACACATAAAGTAATTTATTGGATAGAAGAAATTGTAATTAAAATATACTTGTTAGTAACATTGGAAATACATTTTTAAAACATATTTTAATTGAAATACAGTTTAGAGAAAAATGACCGACGGCCCGCGTGGCCAGGACATCGCAGCTGATATTATTGTCACACATATTTGACAACTGGATAACAGCAAAATAGAAATAGGGGACACAAATAACTTTTTTGAATAAAGTAATTTTGATTTTTTAAACGTATGAATTAGTAGCATTTGAATTGCATTTTAACAAATATCCGACCATATAAAATAATTACGACCCGCATGGTCAGAACATCAGAACGGAAAATATTATGACACATTTTTGTCACCCGCATTTTAAATAGAAATACATGACACTGATAATATTTTATTTGGATGAGAGAAATTTGATTGAAACATCTCAATTAGTAACATAAGTTATACAATGTAACAAATATTAGACAAAACAAGTACCATATGTTTATATTTTAGCGAAAAATAACCGGTGACAACGCGTAGCCAGGAAATCACAAAGGAAAATATTTGGGGACAGGTTGGAGAATTTGAAACCAGAATTGTAAAAGCATTAAAGGACATATGCAGTAATTTACTGGATAGTAAAGGACATATACAGTAATTTACTGGATAGAAGAAATTGTAATTAAAATATACATGTTAGTAACAGTGGAAATACATTTTTAAAACATATTTTAATTATAACACAATATGTTTATTTTAGCGAAAAACGACCGACGGCCCGCGTGGCCAGGACATCGCAGCTGATATCATTGTGACACATATTTGACAACTGGATAACAGCAAAATAGAAATAGGGGTCACAAATAACTTTTTTGAATGATGTAATTTTGATTTTTTAAACATATAAATTAGTAGCATTAGAAATACATTTTAACAAAAATCCGATCATATAAAATAAATATAACACACGTACAATATGTTTGGATTTACAGCAAAAATAGCATGACGACCCGCATGGTCAGAACATCGGAACAGAAAATATTATGACACAAATTTGTCAACCGCAATATTTAAAGAAATACAGGCCACGAATAATATTTTATTTGGATGAGAGAAATTTGATTGAAACATATCAATTAGTAACATAAGAAATACAATATAACAAACATTAGGCAATAAAAGTACCAAATGTTAACATTTTAGCGAAAAATAACCGATGACAACGCGTAGCCAGGAAATCGCAAAGGAAAATATTAGGACACAGGTTGGACTATTTGAAACCAGAATTGCAATAGAATTAAAGGACACATAAATAATTTATTGGATGGCAGAAATTGTAATTAAACTAAACATGTTAGTAACAATGGAAATATTTTTTTAAAACAAATCAAATATGAGAAAAAAGATTTTAATAACAACACAATATATTTATAGTTTAGCGAAAAATTACCGACGGCCCGCGTGGCCAGGACATCGCAACTGATATTATTATGGCACATATTTGACAATGGGAAAACAGCAAAATAGAATTAGGTGCCCAAAATAACATTTTTTCATGAAAGAAAACATTTACATTAGTAGCAATAAAAATGCATTAAAAAAATATCCGACCATATAAAATAATTACGAAACACATACAATCCGTTTGCATTTAAAGCAAAAATAGCATGACGACCCGCATGACGACATAAGAAGTCAGGACAACGCATCCGAAAATATTATACAGCATGTTAAACAATTTAAAACCAGAATTATAAAAGAATTAAAGAACACATAAAGTAATTTATTGGATGGAAGTAATTGTAAATAACATACTCATGTTAGTAACATTGGAAATACTTTTTAAACAAATATTAAACAACAGGTTTTAATTACAACAAAAGTAAAAATTGTTTATAATTAGCGAAAAATAACCAACTGAAATTATTATGACTTAATTTGACAATTGGAAAACAGCAAAATAAATTATAACGACAACAAAAGTACAATATCTTAACATTAAAAGTAAAAATGCACTGTGAACCGCGTGGCCAGGACATCGGAAAAGAAAATAGTCCAATACACCAGAACTATCGAAGAATCGAAACCAGTCTTGATCAACTTTCTTGGTGTCTGCAGTCTTGATCAACTTTCTTGGTGTCTGCTAAGTCCTTTATTGCTCCAGAAGTCACAGCTATTATGTCACATGGCAACTCTCCAGCTTTTTTGCATATATGTCCCTAAGTGCAAAAATATAGACAAAGGCCGGTGACAATTACTTTAAAATGTAAATATATACTTTATCTAAACAAACTTTTTAAACTCAACATATTACAATTAATTTGTTGGTTTTTAATTCATATGGCGACAATCCAGCTCTTTGGTACATGAAGATATGCTTCTAAATGCAATGTTTCAGGCAAGTGGTTGTACCAGAGTAGACCTATTAAACTTCCATCTGCTAGCTTAATAGACAAAGTATATTTGACAATTCCTATCATCAGTAAAATATACCTGATTGAAATTATAACTCATTTATTGAAAAATCCTTTCGAATATATATTACTTATTGAAATATTCAATGAAATAAAATACCTTATTTCTCCTACGATACTGGCCTGTCTCAATAATAACAATGCCATTCACATAATACACAACTTGCCAATGCTCCATCATGTAACTCCCCAACACAAACTTTTACCAATGTTACACAGCCATCCATATTTCGACATTATCCACCATCACAACGTTGGACACTAATCTAGCATTCATTGCCCACTGGTTTACTGAAAGGTAATTAGGGATAACAGAACAACATTCAAATTGCAAAATGTGAATATATACTATAAATAGATATTTTGAAAAAATTAACTAGTTACAATTTATCTCTATTTCTTTTTAAGTCATATTGCGACATTCAAGCAAATTGGTCAATGAAAAATTCACGTTATATGCATTGTTTTCAACAAGTGAAGGTAGTTAAATAAAACAAACGAACTGTCTCAAAGTAGCTTGTAAGTCAAACTACAATTAACAAAGCTATAGGAATGTCTACTTCCAAGCAAATGTCTAGCCCATTATACAAAATGAAAATAGCAGTTAATTATAACGACATATTTATTTGATATGACAGGGATTTCTAACCCTCTTTTATGAACATAACAATGACTCATTACCTTTAATGAGAACTATTCGTGACATCCAAGGGCAAGTTTTACCAAACAATACACCGTGTCCATCTCTCTCCACACTGAAACAACTTCCAATCTTACAAATCTGCCGGCACAGAGGTGTAGAAAGCTGTCCCAAACACGACTGCTTCTTGCGAGTATATCAGCACCGGGACTCTCGAAGAATCGATACCAGTCTTGATCAACTTTCACAGTGTCTGCCAAGTCCTTCATTGCTCCAGTAGTCACAGCTCCAGTGCCTATTGCAAGTCTCCAGCTTTATTTGCAGATGTGTCCCTAAGAACAATATATGTTATAGACAAAGGCCGGTGACAATTATCTCAAAATGTAAATATTTACTTTTCTCAATCAACATATTTCAATTAATTTGTTGGTTTTTGAGTCATATGGCGACACTCTAGCTCTTTTGGTACATGAAGATGTGCATCTAAGTGCAATATTTCAGGCAAGGGGTTGTACTTGAGTAGAACCATTAAACGTCCATCTGCCAGCTAACAAGACAACCAATTTTTGACAATTCCTATCATCTGTAAAATATACCTTGTCATTGATATTATCATTTATTTATAGAATAAACCATTTCAATATATTTTTACTTATTGAAATATTAAATAACATAACAACTTTATTTCTTCCTGGATGCTAGCCTGTTTCCAGAATACAATTTACCAATGCTCCATCATGCAACTTCCCAAAACAAACTTTTTACCAATGTTACACAACCATCCACATTTCGATATTATCCACCATCACAACGTTGTACACTAACCTAGCTTTCATTGTTCAATTGTTTACTAAAAGGTAACTAGGGTTAAGAGAACATCATGCAAATCGCAAAATGTGAAAATATACCATTATAAATCTTTTGAAAAAATTAACTAGTTACAAATTATCTTTATTTCTTTTTAAGTCATATGGCGACATTCAAACAAATTGGTCAGTGAAAAATTGTCGTAATATGCATTGTTTCTAACAAGTGTAGGTACACTACCAAGCAAATGTCTAGCCCATTATACAAAATGAAAATAGCAGTAATTATTACGACATATTTATTTGAAATGACAGGGATTTCTAACCCTCTTTTATGAACATAACCATGACTAATTACCTTTAATGAGAACTACCCGTGACATCAAAGGGCAAGTTTTACCCAACAATACACCGTGTCCATCTCTCTCCACACTGAAACAACTTCCAATCTTACAAATCTGCCGGCACAGAGGTGTAGAAAGCTGTCCCAAACACGACTGCTTCTTGCGAGTATATCAGCACCGGGACTCTCGAAGAATCGATACCAGTCTTGATCAACTTTCACAGTGTCTGTCAAGTCCTTCATTGCTCCAGTAGTCACAGCTCCAATGCCACATTGCAAGTCTCCAGCTTTCTTTTCAGATGTGTCCCTAAGAACAATATATGTTATAGACAAAGGCCGGTGACAATTATCTCAAAATGTAATAAATCAACATATTTCAATTAATTTGTTGGTTTTTGAGTCATATGGCGACACTCAAGCTCTTTTGGTACATGAAGATGTGCATCTAAGTGCAATGTTTCAGGCAAGGGGTTGTACTGGAGTAGAACCATTAAACTTCCATCTGCCAGCTAACAAGACAACCAATTTTTGACAATTCCTATCATCTGTAACATATACCTTCTCATTGAAATTATCATTTATTTATAGAATAAACCATTTCAATATATTTTTACTTATCTTTATTTCGTTTTAAGTCATATGGCGACATTCAAGCAAATTCGTCAGTGAAAAATTGTCGTAATATGCATTGTTTCTAACAAGTGTAGGTACACTACCAAGCAAATGTCTAGCCAATTATACAAAATGAAAATAGCAGTAATTATTACGACATATTTATTTGAAATGACAGGGATTTCTAACCCTCTTTTATGAACATAGCCATGACTCATTACCTTAAATGAGAACTACCCGTGACATCAAAGGGCAAGTTTTACCCAACAATACACCGTGTCCATCTCTCTCCACACTGAAACAACTTCCAATCTTACAAATCTGCCGGCACAGAGGTGTAGAAAGCTGTCCAAAACACGACTGCTTCTTGCGAGTATATCAGCACCGGGACTCTCGAAGAATCGATACCAGTCTTGATCAACTTTCACAGTGTCTGCCAAGTCCTTCATTGCTCCAGTAGTCACAGCTCCAGTGCCTATTGCAAGTCTCCAGCTTTATTTGCAGATGTGTCCCTAAGAACAATATATGTTATAGACAAAGGCCAGTGACAATTATCTCAAAATGTAAATATTTACTTTTCTTAATCAACATATTTCAATTAATTTGTTGGTTTTTGAGTCATATGGCGACACTCAAGCTCTTTTGGTACATGAAGATGTGCATCTAAGTGCAATGTTTCAGGCAAGGGGTTGTACTGGAGTAGAACCATTAAACTTCCATCTGCCAGCTAACAAGACAACCAATTTTTGACAATTCCTATCATCTGTAAGATATACCTTCTCATTGAAATTATCATTTATTTATAGAATAAACCATTTCAATATATTTCTACTTATTGAAATATTAAATAACATAAATACTTTATTTCTTCCTGGATGCTAGCCTGTTTCCAGAATAACTATGCCATTTACAATTTACCAATGCTCCATCATGCAACTTCCCAACACAAACTTTTTACCAATGTTACACAACCATCCACATTTCGACATTATCCACCATCACAACGTTGTACACTAATCTAGCATTCATTGTTCAACGGTTTACTAAAAGGTAACTAGGGTTAACAGAACAACATGCAAATCGCAAAATGTGAAAATATACTATTATAAATCTTTTGAAAAAATTAACTAGTTACAAATTATCTTTATTTCTTTTTAAGTCATATGGCGACATTCAAGCAAATTGGTCAGTGAAAAATTGTCGTAATATGCATTGTTTCTAACAAGTGTAGGTACACTACCAAGCAAATGTCTAGCCCATTATACAAAATGAAAATAGCAGTAATTATTACGACATATTTATTTGAAATGACAGGGATTTCTAACCCTCTTTCATGAACATAGCCATGACTCATTACCTTTAATGAGAACTACCCGTGACATCAAAGGGCAAGTTTTACCCAACAATACACCGTGTCCATCTCTCTCCACACTGAAACAACTTCCAATCTTACAAATCTGCCGGCACAGAGGTGTAGAAAGCTGTCCCAAACACGACTGCTTCTTGCGAGTATATCAGCACCGGGACTCTCGAAGAATCGATACCAGTCTTGATCAACTTTCACAGTGTCTGCCAAGTCCTTCATTGCTCCAGTAGTCACAGCTCCAATGCCACATTGCAAATCTCTAGCTTTATTTGCAGATGTGTCCCTAAGAACAATATATGTTATAGACAAAGGCCGGTGACAATTATCTCAAAATGTAAATATTTACTTTTCTAAATCAACATATTTCAATTAATTTGTTGGTTTTTGAGTCATATGGCGACACTCAAGCTCTTTTGGTACATGAAGATGTGCATCTAAGTGCAATGTTTCAGGCAAGGGGTTGTACTGGAGTAGAACCATTAAACTTCCATCTGCCAGCTAACAAGACAACCAATTTTTGACAATTCCTATCATCTGTAAGATATACCTTCTCATTGAAATTATCATTTATTTATAGAATAAACCATTTCAATATATTTTTACTTATTGAAATATTAAATAACATAAATACTTTATTTCTTCCTGGATGCTAGCCTGTTTCCAGAATAACTATGCCATTTACAATTTACCAATGCTCCATCACGCAACTTCCCAACACAAACTTTTTACCAATGTTACACAACCATCCACATTTCGACATTATCCACCATCACAACGTTGTACACTAATCTAGCATTCATTGTTCAACGGTTTACTAAAAGGTAACTAGGGTTAACAGAACAACATGCGAATCGCAAAATGTGAAAATATACTATAAATCTTTTGAAAAAATTAACTAGTTACAAATTATCTTTATTTCTTTTTAAGTCATATGACGACATTCAAGCAAATTGGTCAGTGAAAAATTGTCGTAATATGCATTGTTTCTAACAAGTGTAGGTACACTACCAAGCAAATGTCGAGCCCATTATACAAAATGAAAATAGCAGTAATTATTACGACATATTTATTTGAAATGACAGGGATTTCTAACCCTCTTTCATGAACATAGCCATGACTCATTACCTTTAATGAGAACTACCCGTGACATCCAAGGGCAAGTTTTACCCAACAATACACCGTGTCCATCTCTCTCCACACTGAAACAACTTCCAATCTTACAAATCTGCCGGCACAGAGGTGTAGAAAGCTGTCCCAAACACGACTGCTTCTTGCGAGTATATCAGCACCGGGACTCTCGAAGAATCGATACCAGTCTTGATCAACTTTCACAGTGTCTGCCAAGTCCTTCATTGCTCCAGTAGTCACAGCTCCAATGCCACATTGCAAATCTCTAGCTTTATTTGCAGATGTGTCCCTAAGAACAATATATGTTATAGACAAAGGCCGGTGACAATTATCTCAAAATGTAAATATTTACTTTTCTAAATCAACATATTTCAATTAATTTGTTGGTTTTTGAGTCATATGGCGACACTCAAGCTCTTTTGGTACATGAAGATGTGCATCTAAGTGCAATGTTTCAGGCAAGGGGTTGTACTGGAGTAGAACCATTAAACTTCCATCTGCCAGCTGACAAGACAACCAATTTTTGACAATTCCTATAATCTGTAAGATATACCTTCTAATTGAAATTATCATTTATTTATAGAATAAACCATTTCAATATATTTTAACTTATTGAAATATTAAATAACATAAATACTTTATTTCTTCCTGGATGCTAGCCTGTTTCCAGAATAACTATGCCATTTACAATTTACCAATGCTCCATCACGCAACTTTCCAACACAAACTTTTACCAATGTTGCACAACCATCCACATTTCGACATTATCCACCATCACAACGTTGTACACTAATCTAGCATTCATTGTTCAACGGTTTACTTAAAGGTAACTAGAGTTAACAGAACAACATGCAAATCGCAAAATGTGAAAATATACTATTATAAATCTTTTGACAAAATTAACTAGTTACATATTATCTTTATTTCTTTTTAAGTCATATGGCGACATTCAAGCAAATTGGTCAGTGAAAAATTGTCGTAATATGCATTGTTTCTAACAAGTGTAGGTACACTACCAAGCAAATGTCTAGCCCATTATACAAAATGAAAATAGCAGTAATTATTACGACATATTTATTTGAAATGACAGGGATTTCTAACCCTCTTTCATGAACATAGCCATGACTCATTACCTTTAATGAGAACTACCCGTGACATCAAAGGGCAAGTTTTACCCAACAATACACCGTGTCCATCTCTCTCCACACTGAAACAACTTCCAATCTTACAAATCTGCCGGCACAGAGGTGTAGAAAGCTGTCCCAAACACGACTGCTTCTTGCGAGTATATCAGCACCGGGACTCTCGAAGAATCGATACCAGTCTTGATCAACTTTCACAGTGTCTGTCAAGTCCTTCATTGCTCCAGTAGTCACAGCTCCAATGCCACTTTGCACGTCTCCAGCTTCATTTGCAGATGTTCCCCTAAGAACAATACATGTTATAGACAAAGGCCGGTGACAATTATCTCAAAATGTAAATATTTACTTTTTTAAATCAACATATTTCAATTAATTTGTTGGTTTTTGAGTCATATGGCGACACTCAAGCTCTTTTGGTACATGAAGATGTGCATCTAAGTGCAATGTTTCAGGCAAGTGGTTGTACTGAGGTAGAACCATTAAACTTCCATCTGCCAGCTAACAAGACAACCAATTTTTGACAATTCCTATCATCTATAAGATATACCTTCTCATTTAAATTATCATTTATTTATAGAATAAACCATTTCAATATATTTTTACTTATTGAAATATTACATTACATTAATACTTAATTTCTTCCTGGATGCTAGCCTGTTTCCAGAATAACTATGCCATTTACAATTAACCAATGCTCCATCATGCAACTTCCCAACACAAACTTTTTACCAATGTTACACAACCATCCACATTTCGACATTATCCACCATCACAACGCTGTACACAAATCTAGCATTCATTGTTCAACGGTTTACTAAAAGGTAACTAGAGTTAACAGAACAACATGCAAATCGCAAAATGTGAAAATATACTATTATAAATCTTTTGAAAAAATTAACTAGTTACAAATTATCTTTATTTCTTTTTAAGTCATATGGCGACATTCAAGCAAATTGGTCAGTGAAAAATTGTCGTAATATGCATTGTTTCTAACAAGTGTAGGTACACTACCAAGCAAATGTATAGCCCATTATACAAAATGAAAATAGCAGTAATTATTACGACATATTTATTTGAAATGACAGGGATTTCTAACCCTCTTTTATGAACATAACCATGACTAATTACCTTTAATGAGAACTACCCGTGACATCCAAGGGCAAGTTTTACCCAACAATACACCGTGTTCATCTCTCTCCACACTGAAACAACTTCCAATCTAACAAATCTGCCGGCACAGAGGTGTAGAAAGCTGTCCCAAACACGACTGCTTCTTGCGAGTATATCAGCACCTTGACTCTCGAAGAATCGATACCAATCTTGATCAACTTCCACAGTGTCTGTCTAGTAATTCGTTCAGTCATATTGAGACCCTTTTATCTGTATTGGTAGATGTGTTCCTTTAGTGCAATCTTTCAGACAAGGGCGGGTGATAAAACCTCAGAATATATTATACATTGATAACAATTAAATATATCTTCATAAACTATTTTGAAATTTGAAATTTTACTATAAAATTGTTGTGCTGAAACCAGCTTAACTGGTAGATGAATATAGACTCTTGAGAGCATTGTTACAGGCAATGGCCGATATCTAAGTACAACTTCTAGCTTTCCATATGATAGCTAGCTGGACAACTCCAATTAACAGTGTGTCTTACTTAAATTATTACTTATCTATTAAATCTCTTTAAAATATATCATTTACTTATTGAAATATTCCTTTAAGGAAAGTACCTGAATGCTGAAGTCTGTCATGAGACTGACAATGACATATACAAAATATACATTGTACTCAATGCTCCGTTGATCATGTCACTCCAAAATAAAACACTATCAATGTAACACTGCCATCCAGTCTCCTCACAAATTTGCAGGTGCACATATTTGGACAATTTGCAGAATTTCCTGGCACACACAAAAAAACAAGAAACACAAAATTTAGGTGGGGAATATCAACAATTAAACAATAGATAACAAAAATTATGGGACACCATGGCCGAGATAATTAAAAGCAAAACACCGCATTTGGTAAAAATCGCGAGAGCATAGTTTAGGCGCATTAATCTGACCGAAATCGCATTTAACATTAAAAAATATAAAGGAATCACACAAAATAAATAAGAAATACATTTTAGTTTACATAGGTTTAAAACAATTCATAATCAAATATAAAAACATCCACGTAAGGTGAAAATCGCGCGTGAATAGATAGGACGCGTAAGCCCTACCAAAATCGCATTTAACATTTAAAAAATAATTAATCAAACCATCCCACCCCCTTCCAACAATATCAACTAAAATAACTATTCACATGTTTACATTTTAGCAAAATACTCAAAATAAACAAGAACACATTTTTAGTTACACAGGTGGGAGACAATTCGAAAAACGACGCGTTGGCCTGATAAAAAACGCATTTTCCATTTAACAGTTTTAAACCATAAATGATCAAACAATTCCACCCCCTTCTAATAATATCAACTAAAACACCTAATCATATGTTTATATTTTAGCAGAATACACAAAATAATCAAGAAACACATTTTTAGTTTACATAGTTGGAGACAATTCATAATCAAATATTAGCAAACATTAACGTAAGGTATAAATCGCGCGTGAATAGATACGACGCGTAAGCCTGACCAATATCGCATTTAACATTTAAAAAAATAATAACTCAAACCATCCCACCCCCTTCTAATAATAACAACTAAAATACCTAATCACGTGTTTACATTTTAGCAAAATATACAAAATAAACAAGAAACACATCTTTTAGTTTACATAGGTGGGAGACAATTCGAAGAAAAACAACGCGTTGACCTGGCAAAATCGCATTTTACATTTAAACCATTGATGATAAAACCATCGCACATCCTTCTAATAATATCAACTAAAATACCTAATCACATGTTTACATTTTAACAGAATACACAATGTAAAGAAAAAACACTTTTTATGTTTAGTTTACATAGGTGGAGGATAATTCATAATCAAATATTAACAAACATTCACGTAAGGTAAAAATCGCGCATGTATAGTTATGACCAAAATCGCATTTAACATTTAAAAATAAATAATCAAATAACCCCACCCCCTTCTAATAATATCAACTAAAATACCAAATCACGTGTTTACATTTTAGCAAAATATACAAAATAAACAAGAACACATTTTTAGTTACATAGGTGGGAGACAATTCGAAGAAAAACGACGCGTTGACCTTGCAAAAATCTCATTTTACATTTAAATCATAGATGATAAAACCAACCCACATCCTTCTAATAATATCAACTAAAATACCTTATCACATGTTTACATTTTAACAGAATACACAATGTAAACAAGAAATACTTTTTATGTTTAGTTTACACAGATGAGGATAATTCATAATCAAATATTAACAAACATTCACGTAAGGTAAAAATCGCGGGTGTATAGTTATGACCAAAATCGCATTTAACATTTAAAAAATAAATAATCAAATAATCCCACCCCCTTCTAATAATATCAACTAAAATACCAAATCACATGTTTACATTTTAACAGAATACACAATGTAAACAAGAAATACTTTTTATGTTTAGTTTACACAGATGAGGATAATTCATAATCAAATATTAGCAAACATTCACGTAAGGTAAAAATCGCGCGTGTATAGTTATGACCAAAATCGCATTTAACATTTAAAAAATAAATAATCAAATAATCCCACCCCCTTCTAATAATATCAACTAAAATACCAAATCACATGTTTACATTTTAGCAAAATATACAAAATAAACAAGAAACACATCTTTTAGTTTACATAGGTGGGAGACAATTCGAAGAAAAACAACGCGTTGACCTGGCAAAAATCGCATTTTACATTTAAACCATTGATGATAAAACCATCAAACATCCTTCTAATAATATCAACTAAAATACCTAATCACATGTTTACATTTTAACAGAATACACAATGTAAACAAAAAATACTTTTTATGTTTAGTTTACACAGATGAGGATAATTCATAATCAAATATTAGCAAACATTCACGTAAGGTAAAGATCGCGCGTGTATAGTTTTGACCAAAATCGCATTTAACATTTAAAAAATAAATAAACAAATAATCCCACCCCCTTTTAATAATATCAACTAAAATACCAAATCACATGTTTACATTTTAGCAAACTACACACTAGAAATAAGAAACACATTTTGTAGTTTACATAGGTGGGAGATAATTGATAAAAAGACGCGTTGACCTGTCAAAAATCGCATTTTACATTTAAACCATCATTAACCAATTTAACCCACCCCTTCTTATAATAACAACTAAAATACATCATCACATTTTTACATTTTAGCGGAATTCGCACAAAATAAACAAGAAACACAACTCAAATATCAAATACATTTTAGCAGAAATCACGCAAGAGAAGCCGAAAACACAATTTCCAAGTATGCATATTGGCAGAAATCAAGAAATTGAGTTTGTAGGAAGGAGACATTATGCCTGTACAAGTGCAGTGTGTTGAACAAAATCCGCAAGAGCGTCGCGCAGCGAGATAAAATAAACATCGAACGTAATGTCAACAAGCATTCAAAAATCACCCTGAATGCAAAGCAGCATTTAATTTAAAAGCTAAAAAACAAATAAAACACATTCGTACAATGATTTGCAGACGTCAGATAAAAAGAGGAATTCAAATATTATGGTTCGAAATATATTAGCACAAGAATAAATTACTTTACCAACAAACACCGCCATTGTCCGCGTCCTTTCCCTCTAAAATGATAGCGCATTCAATACAACACACATCAGACCATCACATGATCACGTGATATGCGGGAAAATTTTTTAAAAGAAAGTTGATTGTCTGACAATAGGTATCTTTCCGCATACACTTTCTCTTCATACATTCAAAAACAGTTCACGTTTCGGCCCTTTCCGCTGTACAACGGGCAAAAGATACGTGGTATGATATTAAACAACTCGGCTTTTTCCGACGACACTTTGTAAAGAGATTTATTGAACTCGCCTGAAGTTATTCACACAAAATATTACATGTATACAATATCGCGACCAAGTATTATATGTAATGATTTGACAATAATTCCGTTATAACACTGAAAGAAGCACTAGAGACTATACATGTGACTTATTAAATACTTTCCTTAAAATAAAATGGTAATTACAGATAAGATAACAAAATTGGTAACTTGCGTAATTACAACACAGGTACATCAGTTGTCC